GGCTGGTATAGGAAAGTTAAAAAATGTAGGAGTCCTAGGGCAGGACCAAAAGGGAAGGAAAGGGAAGAATTAGGGGTGGAAGCAAGAAAATCAGTTCAGAAGGGGCAGATAGAAGGGGCTGCCAGGAATGCCTGAGTTAAATCCAGTGGACTTCCAATTCTGAAAGATGGCAAGCATTCTATTTCCTCTAAACATATGCCCAGGAGTAGCCCTGTGGCAGTCCCTGCTTGTCCTCCTCTGGGTAATAGAAACTTCTCTGCTAGGTAGAGAGTTGGGCCATCATACTTAGTCCAACTAATCTGGTCTGTGCCTCAACTTGCTTTCTTTGTTCTTTCAAAAGATAACTGCACCCACGTGACCTTTGCATTTTAAGGCTGATTACCACCTCCGTGCTGAAAATCCCGCAGATGTTTTCCATTGCTGTTAGGACTAATCCTTATCACCAGCTCTGCAGCCCTGCACAGTGGGCCCTCGGTGAGCTCCAACCAGAGGGCTTCCCCTTGTTCGGTCTCCTCCAGCCTGGGCCTTCTCTTCATGCTGCACATGCTCCCCGCAAACACAGACCCTTTCCTTGTGTTTTCCAAACTCTGTCTGAAAATGCTCCTCCCTTTACAATTATTCTTCCTTCACCAGTCCCCCACATCTTCTTGATAGCATTTACACAGCTGTAGTTTTCTGTTTTTATCTGATTATCTCATGGTCCCCTGCACTGAACTGTAAGTTCTAAGAGGGTAAGTAAGCACTTAGAATGGTGAGTCAGAACTCACCATTTCCATCTTGTTAAGAGCCATCGAGTCAATTCTGACCCATAGTGACCCTGCATAGCATTTTCAAGGAGCAGCTGGTGAGCTTGAACCACTGACCTTGCAGTTCAAATGACTTTGCAGTCTGACGTGTTAGCCCACAGCGCCACACCAGGACTCCATTGCTTAATGGGTCTAAAACACATCTGTTGTGAATGAATGGAGATACTCATTCATTCCTCAAAATCCTACTGCCATGGAATCGATTCCTACTCATAGTAACCCTGTGTAGGGTTTCTGAGGTTGTAACAGGAGCAGACAGCCGCATCTTTCTCCCATGGAGCAGTTGGTGGGTTTGAACCATCGACCTGATGGGGACAATAATACTTGGTGCTCCTTTCCTGAAAGGCACCCGCACGAGAGTAAGGCAAGTCTACAGCCTTAAACACATTCTGTTTGGAATAAACCCGTGCATGTATGAACTAGAACCCTAGTAACACTTTTTTACTTACCCTTGTGCCTCCCTGAGAGACCACCCTTACCCCCATTCTTTGTGTTTTAATTCTTTCTTTGTTCATGGATTACATTGCTTGGTTTACTGTGTAGGCACTGCCCTTGCACAAAGTTTACTCTAGGTATAGGGAGCAAGTCTTTGTTCTCCTTTTGATAGTTTATGGATTAAGAGCCCTTTGCCACCCCACTGGGACCTTGCTTTAAACTTCAGCATGATTCCTGTTTATATAAGGCAGCTTCCTCACAGAGAAGATAAACTCATCTATTTTCTTCCCCTTGTGGATGGTGCCATTTGGGCACAATTCCACACTAATGCGTCAGACTGCAACGTTGTTTGAACTGCAAGGTCAGTGGTTCAAGCTCCCCAGCTGCTCCTTGGAAACCCTATTCAGGATTGCTACGGGTTGGAATCGACTCAGTAGCA